AGACTTTTTATTGTTCAAACCAACGCTGTAACATCCGCGGCCTCCGATGGACTGAAGAAGACGGAAAAGAGAGGGAAGGGGGGGGAGGGGAAATATAGAATTAGAAGACCTCCGTGACATGAAGAAGCGCCCAGAGGTATTTTAGTCTGGCAGAGCTAACTCCTGGCCAGGGAGACCCCGGAGGGATACAGTGAGCCAGAAGAGGTGAGGAGAACAGAGGGGAAGAGAGTGGAGTGGTAGAAAGAGGAGTATTTTTAGGGTGGTCTGTTATCTGCGGAGAGGAGGGCGTGCGGTATCACAGCCAGGTCACATCGCTGAGGGGAGAAACAGCACGGGCTCTCCGCCGAGACGCTAGATAAGGAGGAGCAGAACAATGAGATCTCTCTCCGTCTCTCGTACATACGCTTAAACATCCACACACACACCGAACAATCTGTAACCACATCCACAGGAAGAGACACACACTGCAGCTCCACTCTCCCCCCCACATCCTCTCGCGCACTCTCAGAAACCCTCAGCTGTGTTAAAAGATCGCGTCAGGATGAGGCCTCAGAGCTCCACAGGTGACCCCAGAGTGTGTTAGTACCCCGGAGGCCGACAGACAAAACCGGCATTATCGCCGAATTTCTTCACCCGCGTCTTTCCTCGCGCTCCCTCCGTCTATCTCTCCTCTATTCTGGCCCTCTTGCGATGTAAATGCCAGCAGAACAGATGGATGCAGAGAACATCTCATCACTCTGACACCGTGTTTATGCAATCACATGCAAACACACCACGCAAACACACTCCCCGTGCACACACACACACACGTATAGGCTCCGGAGCAAGATGGTGGTGGAGATTTCTTCAGTCATCAAAGTAAGCGCATGATGCACGGTACAAACACACACACAGACACACACACACACTTTTGGTGTTTTGGTGATTTGATGAAACCTTCTGTTCGCTTCTTCCTTTGTTTATACTGAACACACACGCACATAAGCGCGGACTCACATACACACATGAAGTGAGTAATTCACCAAACTAGCAGCTGTTACGGAGAGAACTGGGTTCTAACGGAACGCCTCTGACATGCTAATGACGCTTTGTCGACCCGAGGACTTGAACCACGCACGCTCACGCCGCGCAGATTTAGAACGTCTGACTATCATCCGTCACAGAACCCGGAGAATATCAGTCTAGTTGTGTGAATATTAAATGGTTTTAGCTCCCAGAACGATGTAAGCACGCCGTGTAGGACTGCAAGCCAAATGAAACCCTAGCTCACTCCAGGAATATCTTAGTGAGGCTTTGAGGGAAGATCCTTTTTCAACACCCAACACCCCACAGCACTCCACCAGCCACCCACCCACCCAATCAAATCCTCACTGGCAATGCGCTGCTCCTCATCTCTCTTCTCTGCTTCTTTTGTTCATCTCGCTCAGCCGCCCACACACCTACCGTCCCTCGGGCTTTTCTCTTTACACTCTCACGCACATGCACAAATTTACATTTGGCTACTTCATACTTTGCTTTATTTCTTCCTGTCCTTTCTGTTCTCTTCACCAGTATCAGACACTCGGAGATTCGGTGTGAATGCAGGTTCACATGTGTGCTAGCAAACACACACACACACAGGGCCTATATTTAGTGCTTTACAATACAGATGTGTGGGCAGCAACCATCTGGGGCCTCAAATGGAACAAAAAAAAGTCTGTGTCGATGTGGGTTTGTGTGGCGTAGGGCGAAGGGCCAAACTTAAAGTAGGGGTTCGAGGCAGGGGGAATCATTGTGGAAACCCCCTCCAGAGAGCTGGGAATCTCTGGGGAGAGTGGGAAAAACATCCCGACCGTCATCAATCAAAACTTTGGTGACACAAATGACCAGAAACAACGGAGCGTTCTCCATCCATGTCACTGTGTCACCTCCGCCCCACGGCCATGTCCCACCCACCTGCGCCGCTGCCCCATAGGCCCTCGTCGTACGCCGCCCGATGCCATTGGCCCGTCGGTCCCCGAGCGAAATCGTGATCCCCTCTTGGCTAATTGGGTCTTTGTGATTGCGCAGTCTATCGTGGCGCTGTGGGAGAATGAAACGTGAAAACGGTATTATGGTGGCGGGGGGAAGAGTGGCAGCTCGAAGCGGGGAGATCGTTTTTGGCGTCTCTAAGTGCCAGATGCTCTTCCTGGGTCCATTATGATGCCTTACAGGGGATTGAGATGGTTTCGACGTAGCAACTGGGAAGACACAAAAGCAAGATGGAGACCAAGCGAGATGGAGAAACACACAAACACACGCTTGCGAATGCAGGCTTGCACACACGCTTACGTATGCACTTAAACGTATAGAACCTCGTTTAAAACACAATTGAAAACCAACGCTTGCTATCAGGTGCTTTTCAATAGAGGTTATCAGAACTTCCCTTTGTGCATGTTAAACAAGGTTTAAACAAGATGTTTCTGTTTCACCTTTTGATGTTCAACTGGAAAACAAATCAGGGGAAAACCACACGGGATCGATGCAAATGAAAGTCTTCATCAAGCTGTGCCTCCATCGAGGGAGCGTCTTTGAGGGAGGCGGCGTGTAGGAGGACGGGTCAGGAGGCTGCTCTTTGTTTGCTCCACCACACTTCTGCACGAGGCCTTTGTGTTTGTGACTACCTTGCATCTACTCCGTCCACTTTATTTATTATATCCATGAGGGATTTTAAAAAACTATTCCAAACTGTAGTTGACAGATGGCGGGGGACTGATTGATGCTGCTTGTTCTCCTGTTAGCAGCTTTAAAATATCCTACAGCTTGCTATCTAATACCCTTCATCATCCACTGGGTTTCTCCTCCTTCACCCAACAACCATCAACAGGTGGCGCTGTAGTCACACTCTTCAATGCTGCTTAGGACAAAGAACTACCAGCAACCTCAAGCCCCAAATCCCAGCAGCTCAGCTCTTTATCAGGAAATTGTGACACATTCATGTTTTGAAATGCATGTGACAGGCTGTGGGTTTTTTTTTTTTTCTTTTAAAGGGTGATGTTTTATGACCACATGCCCGCTGGCGTTCTTTAGGTTATCAGCTGCTAAATGCCACTTCTGACAGAGAGAAGGCAAGAATAGTGCATCTTTGATATTCCTGATTGGTGGGTTCAAACTGGGGTCTCTAGTGAAACCAAAGAGAAATACGTTTATTAACCTTTATGCAGCGTAAAGTTAAAGTATAAGCAGGAGAGAGTGCCTTTGTTTTCCTCATTTTTTTTGAACACCAGAGCCTCCAAACAAGCCTCCCAAATGATGTGCTGTTTCCAAAATTCTTCTTCTCAGTGTGGTCCACTCTAACTTGCCTTTTTTGAGGATTATTAACACTGTAGCACACTGACACCGTACTGTATGTCATTTGGCTCATGTCATTTGAGTTACCATTAAGGGAAGCAGTGTGAGAGACCGCCCCAGTATCCGCTGCTGCATCCAACTCGCTTTCACACTTGGGTTCATTCACACACACTTTTCCCACCGGGATGGAGCCGCTTCAGCCAGCGCGCAGAGCCAACGGGGGACGCACACGCTTCCACTCGGCACACATGGCTGCGAATTTATGGCGAATGTTTTCCACGTCCATCTGGATAATAACACTAGTTTCAAGTTCGAGGACGAGGATTTATCCGCCCAACGAAGGTAAGTAAGGAGGGAATCGTATCTATGTGTCTGTGTGTGTGACACATAGTCGGATTTTTCGCTGCTGCTGCTGCCGCTGCTGCCGCACGCTGGGAGCGACGCTGTGCGCTCCAGGCGCGTCCTAGGATGGCGAGGAGCAGAGCAGGGCAAATAGGCACCAATCTTGAACTGTCCAAAAAGTTGGATTTTGGGAACATTTCACAGATGTTGATATTTGTACGTGTTTCTCATGGAGTTGTGCCCTGAAGGAGTTCAGCTACACGGTTTCTGTCTTCGTGCTGCCACGAAAATCTTTAGGGTGTTTTTTGGATACATCCACATGATTTGGTCAATGCACAGTTTATGTTTATTCAGAAACAGCTCACCACTGAACCTCAAACTCTCTGGTTGTTGCTTTGTGTATAAATAACGCTTGATGCTGAAATCAATTATGGACATGTGTTTTGTTTTTGTTTTTTTAAATACATAGACATATGTGATCCTATGTATTAAAATGAGAGTTATTTGTTAAGACAAACTCCATCAAATCAAGTGAGATAGACATTCTGCTACTGCTGTAACTGTCCCAAGCTTACTGGTCACCTACATAGTGGTCATTTTGTGGTGAGGGGAGGTCATATAACGTAATGTACACTGCTTTAAAAGGTATCACTTGAAGTACTTCAGGCAGTTTGCCCTTAAACCACCTGCATTTGTGTATATGTGCAATTTTAGTGACACTGCTGGATACCAGGACAGTGCCAGGAGAGCTGAAATGGGCAGCCAGTCCTTCAGAGGGAGGGGTGAGTGGGAGCTGCCTTTCTTTATTTTTTTTTCCTTTTCAAAAAAAAAATTTTTTTTAATTTATTTATTTTTACAGATACACTGTTTACAACTTGTTCTCTCTTTGGAAAACACACTCACGCGCACACACACTTGAACACACTTGGTCTGGAAACTGTAAATAATCATCCCACAGATTTTGAAATGTGCTGTTGTTCACCAAGCTTAAGTGCTAATATGAGATTGCTGGCTTTGTGTTTGGCACAAGTAAAGGCATAAACCAGCTTGGTGGTGGGTGTCATTTTTTAGGGATTTTTACTACCATGCAGTTGCCAGAACGAATCCTGGAGATGTCTCTTTTATATTTTATCTCTTCAACTTTTGTACTTTTCGTCGTTGGTACATTGTGATCTGCCATCTTTACGCCCTCTCTCTCTCTCTCTCTCTCTCTCTCTCTATCTTTTGCTCAGTGTCTCCCTCACCTCTTTGTTGGTTTAAGAGTTATTGCTGAACTTGACTCTTATTCCTTCAGCCACCATGCTCTCATTCGCTCACACGCTGCTTGATTGACAGGGTCCTGGTCTGCACGCACTGAGCTTTTGATTACAGGCACCCCACCACCTTCCTCATCCCTTAGCTACACACACATAGAGATACAAAACACCATTTTTATATGGTTGGGGCAAGTGCAAAGCTTTTTTTTTTTTTTTGCCTCTGACAGCTGTGATTTCTGTCTACTGACAAAAAAAACTCCAAAAGAGACTAGACAAGGAAGGCATCACACCCCGTGTCAGCTTTTATACAGCTGTCTTCCTCGATATACACTTACCGCACAAAGGCACGACAACAACACACAAACACTCACGATGCACAAAGACGTGGGTCCGTGCACATGCTCTTGCTCGTGCATACGCGCTCTTTGCACATACTGTACACAAAAGAAGTGCACAGTTACACCATGGAGCAGAGCAATGCTGGATATTTGAGGCCAGTAGCAGGGTGGGTATTTGTGAATAATAAAACCCTGCTATTATGCATCAGCCAGTATTTTAACATTTATTGTCAAGTAGGACCTCAAAACAGCACATTCTCAACATTTGACTGCACCGGCAATTAAAAATGATTACAATTATTGTGAAGAAGAATTTACTTGAATGTGCATGAAAATAAAAACTGCATAGCTTTTTCTTTTCACATCAGTATTAATTTATCAGTACATCTGTAATAAGCCTATTTAAGACACTAAGGTTGACTTCCATGACATATCAATCACGCTCCACACACACACACACACACACACACACACACACAACCCCTCTGCTCCAAACGCACACACATCCTGTCATTCTCCGACTCTCCCTCTCTTTTTCTCTCTGTGGACACGGTGCATTTAGTGTGTATACAGCTCTCACTAGTAGGGAGAGAGCAGATTATTATTCAGTGGCAATAAAAAGCCAATTTGGAGTTGGGAGGCTCAGCGGTCATTCGAAGGGTCACAGTACAAGGCAAATAATCGGTTCTATTGAGATGGATGGTGTAGTGAAGGTTGAGCCTGCTTCACTTGTATGGAAATGTGCCAGCAAAAACCTTGGAGTCGCCACAAATCTGAACCACTGTCCACTGCAGAATATTGATGCAAGAATGAGTGTTAGCCTGCGAGGCTTCCAATGACAGCAGTGAATTAGAGGATGCACACCAGCATCTGAAATGTATTTTTTGTTGGGTTTTTTTGTGTTGGTGAAGACAAAAAGTTCCTCAAGCGGACAGAAAAACTATTTTTCCACAGTGGGTTCGTTTCACTGGTCCCCACTAGTGTATAGATTTAGTTTCGACATTGGAGGCGGGGACACATTAAACAGGGGTTTGGGCGTCTTCCCTCGAGAAATTAATTTCCTGCATTCTGGTGATTTTTTATGCAGCATTTTCTCCATCAGTTTATGGTGGAAATGTATTTATATAAAGGAGAACAGAAAATTAAGGTGCAATTGGTTTTTCAAAATAAATGCTATTAGCTTCTTAAATGTGTTTTATTGGAGCGGTAAAATGCACGTGTTCTAAATATTAAGGGAGACGTATCGCCTGCATCCCCCCCTGAAATATACACCTCCGTGCATATCCACGTGTTAACGCTTGTGTCTACAAGGGCCGAAGAGTAATGTTACGCAGTCACTTTGAGTTCATGTCAGTGCAGCAATGAAAGTCAACTTTCAGGCTCTTGAACATTGCTGCCAGCACAGTGGTCATTGAAGTGCAGCTCCCAGTTGGGGCCGTTTTGTAAATCCTTCTTTGTTGGGTGAAACTTGAGCATCAATAATCTTTTATATGCAAAGCCTGCAAGACTGCTACATAGTAAGTGGCTGTTAAATTTTGGATATCAGGGTTTCTTGAATAAGTTTTAAGAACCTGCTGTCCGTGGCTCTAACCCATGACATATTAATAGAGCATCTGCAATTTAAAAGTCAAATTGCTGGCATGAACTAGCAGCAGTGCCTCCCTGGAAAGTAGGAATTTTTTTTTCTCCTCTGGAATGTGTTGTAAAGCTGCAAACATAACCAATTTGTTGTTAAGAATGTATGAAGTGTCGCCCTCCCTTGTGTAGTGAAACAAATGTGTGTATTTGAAGTGGGAAGAAGTGAGCATTATGGACGAGAAGAACATCCCCATCAGAACGTACCAGGTGTGTAACGTCCTAGAACCCAATCAAAACAACTGGCTGAGGACGGACTGGATCCCTCGGTCCGGCGCCCAGCGAGTCTACGTGGAAGTCAAGTTCACCCTGAGAGACTGTAACAGCCTGCCAGGGGTCACCGGCACCTGCAAGGTACATGAAAACATGCTTTGTGAGGGCTCGGTAAAGCATACTGATCACTGTTTAAAGCATTCCAGATAAAGGTTTGACTTCTTTAATATGTTAGCTTTCATGATAATTAGTAAATGGACAGACTGCTGCTAATGGAGCTTTATTATATATTATAGCTGCTGGTTACTCGAGCACAAACTGCACTTTGGCTCATTATCATATTTGGAGAGAAGATGAGAGCTGATGGTGATAAATAGACCCCTCAGTGTTTTTTTTCTCTTCTGAAAATTCCCCCTCTTATCTTGTAGGAGACATTCAACCTGTACTACCATGAGTCAAATGAAGACAGAGAGAGCTACATCAAAGAGAGCAGCTTCATTAAGGTGGACACAGTGGCAGCAGATGAGAGCTTCACCCAGGTAACACCAAACGACTGAGTCAGGCTTTGTGCGTTTTATCCTCCCTCCTCCACTCACTTTAATTTGCTCCTATCGGGAAAATACAACCCCCTGGCACTTAGCTCTAATTTTTTTATTTGTTTTACAAGCACTTTTATCTCGGATGTCTATTTCGCTGTCCGAGGAATGTTGGCAGGGCGCTTTTTGCGTAGTCCTCACTAGAATTACTCCCGATTTTAGTGTTGCAGGCATTAAAGCTCGTTTTACCTTTGCAATCGATAAAAGTTCATCTGAATAAGAGCCAAACGCTGAAAATGTGAAGATCAGCTGCGGTTCAACTCCCAAATTGAATTAAAAAGGGCTGACATGGTTTATTGCACGTTTTTTATTAATGTGACTCCATTCTCCTTCCGTTCAGGTGGACGTAGGAGACCGCATCATGAAGTTAAACACCGAAGTGCGAGATGTAAAGGTCACGACCCGGAAGGGCTTCTACCTGGCCTTTCAGGATGTTGGCGCCTGCATCGCTTTGGTTTCCGTCAGGGTTTTCTACAAAACCTGCCCGCTCACCATTCGTAACCTGGCCACTTTTCCCGACACCGTTACCGGGGCTGACACTTCCTCCTTAGTGGAGGTCAGGGGGTCCTGTGTGAACCAATCAGAAGAAAGAGAGGAGCCTAAAATGTACTGCGGCGCTGATGGAGAGTGGTTGGTCCCTATTGGTGGATGTCTGTGTAACCCCGGGTATGAAGAGAAGGGCGGCGCCTGTAAAGGTAAGAGATGCTTGGCGCCACACTTGACAAACAACTCAGTAATGATGGAAAACATTTGGTTTGTGTAGTTTTTCACACCTGCTTGATTAATCTGTGGACTGTTTTAATTACTTTTGAGGAATATGTTTGGAAATTCTGTGTTAACTGGACACTCACAAGTTTGGCAGCTCGTTAACAGCAGAGTTGAACATTGCTGTATTCAACCGATCAATGCCAATGGTTTAAAGTACTGGACTGAATTTGGGTTTTTGATGGCAGATATGATTTTTTTGACAATAACACACACCCACACACGTTGGAGGAATAATTCAACATTTTGTGAAGTATGCTTATTCACTTTCTTGCCAAGAGTTAAGTTAAAAAAAAAAAAAGAAAAAAGAAAAAAAAGTGGCACCATTCTGTCTGTCTGTTCAAAATGAAGCTGCAACAAAGAGACTTAGTTAAGCTTTGCATAAAGAAGGGAAATAAGGGGGAACAGCTAAATTGGCTCCTTGTAAACATAGCAAAATCAGTTTACCAACAACTTTCCATCGATTAGCAACCTCATGGTGACGAGAAGTCTTCAGGAAGAAGCTGTGCCCAGAAGAAGTGTCAAAATTTGACAAAAAAATCCAGGAGCTTTGGAGGTGATTTTGTTAACCTTGAGAGGCCAACGAGTTGTTTCTAAAGAGCGGCTTGTATTAATACACCACCAAGACCAACACAGTTGCGTAGGTTAGACCCATCTGTAAGGACCAGCCCACGTCGGACACGTTTCCAGGCCTCCTCTGGACCACGCTTGGACACGACTTGATGTTTTCCAAACTGTAAACAGTATTTTTAAGTGTTAGTAGAAGCTCTCAGGTCTCAGTGTGAGGTGTGCTGACACAACCGCAGCCATCTGGACAAAAATGTCTTTCTATCACTTACAAATTTGGTCTGAACTTTACGGTAACGAATATGCAAGCTGTTCACACCTCTCTCTCTCTCTCTCCGACATACATGTGGCCTGGATGACGTGTAATATTTGGATGTGACTGTTGTGATAGTGAGGACTACTAAATGTACGTGTTCGGGAGGCAAAGTTGGGTTGAACAGAGGCGGGGGGACAACAGACTTGGTGGAGACACTTTTACTACATGGCTCGACTCCCCCCCCATTCGGTCACACAACACTCAGACTCACACAGATGGACAGAGACCAATGGAGAGACAGGGGAGAAGGACTCACTGATCGGCTCCCTCGGTTTTATTTATGAAGCCTATCCCAGCAGGCTAATTGTATAACAAACAGACCCATAATTCAAAGGGAAAAAGAGGAGGCGCTGAGAGGGAGAAAGAGATGGACATAAAGAGAGGGATGCAGTTGGTCCCAGTTGGCGCTAAAGAGGGAAAAACATGTGACTTTTTTTTCTATGCAATGAGAACGGTAGCCAAAATACTCGGTGTGACAAATGTTCTCTAAAACCTTCACCCGGCTTGCCCCGTTTGTTCCCGCTGAAAAGAGGAGGAGGTTTGCGGGGTGGTCCCTGAGGCCTGAAAGATGTTCCTCCTCAACTAGATTTAGGAGAGACCCTTGACTCTGTTGAACCTCTAGCAGATGTGAAGTGCCATCTATCTATCCGCTGCTCCGGCCTCCGTCTTCTCTCCGCTCTCGCTGCCTGTCAGGTTGTTGGCCGCGAGCAGCTGCTTCGGTGGAAATCCATCAAAGTCCTGGAAGAATACCGAAAAGAAAAAAAAATCTGACCCTGCAGTATTAGATAGACGCCATAACAGTTCTTCCATCTTAAGTTCAAATTTTTCAGACGTAAAGAGAGGTGGGGGGGAAGGCAGAGCGGGATTCGGGGGGGAGACTGAAAGTAGAGATACGTGAGTGAGGTCAAAGGGTTTCTGGATTTTCACGTGCCTTCGCTCAGCCAGCATAACTCAGCTCGGATGGAGATACCTCAGATTTTATTGTGAGCAATAAACACAGAGAACGATAGTTTATGCATACAAGAAATAGTTTAATGTGCAGAGTATGTAAGTGTGGGTTAAACAAATAGGATATAGTCTTATTTGTGGGTTTTTAAGGTGGTTGACATCTTCTGTTGCCTTTGAATGGACACAGTTTCTATTCTTTCTAATAAGCTAAGCTAACTTTCCTTTCGCTCTAGCCTCATTTTTAGCAGCTATGTGAAGCAAAGCAAATACTCCAACACATCATGCAAGAACTTCTCTTGCTGCGTGATGTTTTGGATTGCCAGACGCCCAGTTTGTTAAAACACTGGTTCCACATGTGCGAACAAAAATAGGCGAGAAACAGGAGAGAAACACCAAAAATAAAGATTTGGTTGCGAAAAGAGACACGATGTGTGGAAATAGTTTGGCTACAGAAAGGATGATGTTGACCAAAAACAGAAACTGCCACTACATGAAGCAACACCACTAATTTGTTTGACCATTTCAATCAGCTCCTGAAAAGCCACCACAAATAGTTATTCAAGTTATCTGGGAAAAATGGTTGTGTTTTCACATATATATAGCACAGAAAACCAAAATATCACCATGTCAGTTGTTTTTCTTGTTGTTGTTTTTTAACACTGTGCAGTCCAGTGGTAACAAGTCGTCTATTGTAGAAAGATGACATGTTGCTCTCATGTAATTTATTTTAAAGCTACTTAAATTATACACTGAAATGAGAGAATTGATGGTTGATTTAAATATGCAATTATTGACGCATAAAATTAAATTCATTGAAATAAAGGCTACATGTAATATTAATGTCATAAGTTTGAAGTTAAATGCACTTACATCATTTGATTCCTCTCAAATGAACGGTTTGCATTGCTGCAGCTTAATTTTAAAGAAAGTCTACTTAAAGTTTATATCCTAAATATCAAATGTGAAACATGTTTTTGACCTTAAACGTTTTCTTTACTCTATCATAGAAAACATCAGTTGAATGGCTCCTTAAATAAGTGAACGTCATAATGTCACAATGCTAAAGAAGCACTGAACCTAATGTTTGTGCTTTTGCCAAAACTAGAATATCAGTTTAAATTGAAAAAGCGCAATTTAAAGTTGAGTAAACTGACATCACCAAAGCAGAAAGATAAATGGCATTTATTTAAACCACACTTTACTTCAACCACAGCTTAAAGACACTTCCTACAGTGTTGCACAAACTGAAAACAAATCCAGACTCTGAAGGTGAAACAGCAGACACATGCACTATAAAAGATATAATGATAGAAGTTCAGTAGTTCAGGTTTCTGAGCTGTGCAAAATCTTTTATGCATGCTTGAAGAAAATGTCATTTCAGATGCTGAAAATGTTTTCTAGTTATATATATCATCTGGTGAGGTAGAATTTTATTTTATCTGCAGAAACACCTTTAGATGGTGCATTTTAGCATCCCCCCCAGAAACTCCTGTTGAATTAAGCTGAAACAGGAGTCGACTTAGTTAAAGAAGTAAGATGTGAAAAGTTCATTTTGAGTGTTGACACCGAGTAATAAGGATGGAGAGGATGAGAGCAGGAGCTCTGGAGAGGAAGAAGGGATTAGACGTTGAATAGGGCGAGAGGGAGGTTGAAAGAAGGCCACTGACAGCAGAAGGCATCAATGCAGAGCTGCCCCTCCCCCGCTGGGGGTTCGTCAACGGGGTGCAAAGGGGACGAGCAGAGAAACACAAGAGAGAGGGAACTCCCCCTCTTTTCTAAACCCCTGGTTAAGACCGAGGTCATGACTGAGCCTGATGAAGACGTCAAAAACTGTGACTGACAGCCGCACACATACACACACATACAGAGGGAGTTTAGCTGCAGAGTGCAGGGTCATGACCGAGGTAGATGAAGACGTCAAAAGTTTGACAGCTGCGATCCGTCTGGGAGGATCGGAAACGAGGGAGGAGAGACAAGAGGCGAGCGGAGGAGAGACAACAGAGAGAATGTGAAATGTGAACGGCTGGAGAGGCAGAATGAAAGAGGAGCCTTCTGCTTTTTGTTTCACCGTCTCTCCACTGGCCTCCTTTTTTTTTTTTTTTTTCCCTTTCTGTCGTCTGATTCTCCTCCATTCTGCTCACTGCCTGGGAGGGTTGGAATGTTTCTCTGAGCGACTATGTTTGCCTGTGAGAGTGTGTGTTTCTGTGTTCCCCTCTGTCCAGAGAGATTTCATGGTTGTGCTTCTATCCAACGCACCTGCAGTGTCTCGTCAACAGCAGAAAGCATTTGGACGGAAAGAGGGAGAGAGGAGAGAGGCAGATAGCCACACTGAAAGAGAGACGACAGAAAGAAAGAGTGAGCGGATGATAGAATGAGTGCGTAATCGCTGTATTCAGTCCCCTCTAATTATTGCATCGCATTTCTGGACTCTGAACATGTTGGACTGCTGATTTGGAGTGTGTGCGTGCGTGTGAACGAGTGCACGTGTGTGTACTGTATCTCTGATTTTCTGCCTAACAAAGCCCTCCCTCCAATATACTCACAGTTTGGAGGGCTGCCCAGGAATGCCTAGAGAAGAGTGTGGTGGGGCAAACACACAGGGAGGAGGAGTGTGTGTGCATGTGAGAGTGTTTCTGTGTGTATATATGTGCAAATGCATGGCAGGTGACAAAGCGAGCAAAGACACCGGAATGCCACAAGCGACTGTGTGAAGTGAGCCAAACTCAGGTGGGGGGGAATGGTTCGCATTCCTTCATCACAATCAAACTGTTTGCGTGCGCTATTGTCTCCGTCTCCCAGGTTGTTCCTAATGTAGAGGAGGTTCTGCCAGCTCCACCAGGCTGTCTGCAGCTCTCTGGCACCGGAACAAGCTCCGCTCTCCCTCTTTCTCTTTCTGTCTTGCTCTCATTATCCCTCCTTTCTCTTCTCCAACTCTTCTCCCTGATCCACAGTCAGGGGGTTGGTGGTGAGGGGGTGCTGCTGCTGCTGTTGCTGCTGCTGCTGCTGGTGGCGGCAGGGGGGTGGTGGATGATGTGTGTCTGATAGGGAGGGGAGTTATTGTTGTAGAGACCCTTTCACATGCTAATGTTCACACTGTTGGCTTCGGGCACACTCACAAACACACACATTTCTCTCCTCAAACCACCCGTTTCTGTGCCTATTTAAATGTAGACCAGCTTTAAACTTTAAGGTTTTAAATGCAGTACAGCGCTCCTGCAAAAACACGAAGTAAATGTGGCACCGAACTTCACAGGAATGTCAGGGTGATTTTGAGGGCACGCCGTCTTTTTCAATGAAGACATACAGTAGGAAAAGATAAGGATCGCGTCTTATCTCAAACATATCTCCGGGCTTTAATTAAAGGGGGCCACGACCCCTGTGATTAATAGTGTCCCTCCTCCTCGTGTGGCAGTCTATCAATCCGTCAATCCATCCCTCCCTCCATCCATCCATCACTCGGACAGGTGTCAGACTGGAGCAGTCAGGGGTACTTCCTCCATCTCCACCCCTCTGCTGGGAAGGAACAAGGGATGATGACAAATAACACGGGGTCAAGGAGAATACTCACACACACACACACACACAGAGCAGCCCTCGCACAAGCATGCATACAGTGTGCCGACGAGGCTCTTAGTTAGGATTTGCGATGAGCCGCATTTGCATTTTAGGTAGCAGAAGAATGCATATGCAAATGAAGACAATGCTGATAGTAATCAAAGGGCACCTTCCCCCCTCCGAGTCTCTCTCTCTCCCTCTCTCTCTCCTTCCTCCTCCTCCTCACTTTGTCTTTTTCTCCTCACCTCTTTATCTCTCGCTCCTTGTCAGTCTTTTCCTCGTGCCAGGCAACTCTCCCCATCCTTTCTACGCTCTCTGTCACTTTCTCTTACTTGTCTCAAGGAGGCAAACAGCTGATTACAGTGTAATTATTGTCCCGTCTAACGGGCAGAATATTAATGCGCCTGCAAGCCTTCACCTTATCTCATCAGTATGTGTGTCTGTGTCCGTAACCCTCCCGTGTTACTCGGTGGAGCTCAGGCTCTTGCAGGGCCTTTTGGTAGCGTAGGGTTAATGTCGGGTTAATGACACCCTCATGAGCTCTTATTCCAGGTCACCGGCGCTCACCACAGCCGCCCCCCCCCTCCTCTGTCGAAAGCAGCGCTAAAGACGACACAAAAGACTACAGAGAAGAGAGACATGAGAGGGCGCTCAAGGAAGTTTATGGCTTCAAATACTTGCTCCTTTCTTTTGCTTCCTCCTTCATTCTGTCCTCTGTGTTGGAGACAGGGATAGAGGATTGGATGGGACAGAGACAAAGGCGGTGTGATACCCCCCTGGCAGAGTCCTGCTGAACCCTGTAATCAACCTCCGAGTTCTCAGCGCTTTTTCTTCTTGCACTTCTTCCCCACTCATGGCTTATTTACCTACATTAATAACTAAAAACAAAGGAATGTGTAGAACAGCTGGAGACCGACAATACTGTATTTTATCTTGCATTTGATTTGTGCCAGCTGCCACAATAAGATGAGTCAGTCACCAAATGAAAGCCACCTTTATCAGCCGTAAATGTGTTTATGAATTTACAGGTTGCGGCTGCACAGTTTTCAGCTGCGGCGCGTGTTTGTGTGCGATCTCATTTGAATTGGTATCGATACGGAGCTTTAAACGGCGATAGGCGGCTTCAAAGCTTTTTTTTTCTCTTGGAGAGGAGCGGGATATACGGAGATAAAGCAGGAGCGAGAGAGTTATCAGAGACACAAAGACAGACAAGTGGAGGTCGAGGAGGAAGTGCATAGGAAGCGAATGAGGGAGATTGTGAAATGTGAAAGGGAGGGCAAATGAGTGTGTGAAAGAGCAAATCTGTGGAGGCTCTCACAGATGGGGCAGGATGGTTGGTCTGAGTAGATTACAGAGGAGACTTCCTCCCTCTCATCTACTGATGAGAGAGTCATAAAGCATACTGACACACTCGAAACACACACACATGTACGCACACACATCATTCCCACATTCCTATTCATTCCCACTGGGATGTCTTCATCTCCCTTGGAAATGTGAAAGAGTTAAAAAAAAAAAAAGAGAGGGGAGAGCGAGGGAAGACGGTAGGATTGAAGGCGAATGAATAGGGTGTGATGATGAAAGAGAAGGTGTTGAAAAAAAGGATGCAGTGGAAACAAATAAAGGATTTCCTTCTGAAATTAACGAGAGAGTGAGAAAAAATTGCTCCAACCAGTCACGCTTTGCCATCTCTTTTGCTTCACCAGTGGATGTCAAGCAGTATAATTATGCACTCATTTATTGCATTGTTGCTCTGTCAATGCATGAACTCCTTGGTATACAGAGAGAAGATTTCTCTCCCTGTCTCTTTCTCTCTCACCCTCTCTCTTTCTCTGTTTCTCCTCTTTCATATATTTAAATGTCAATTATATTTGTGTGGGCTGCCGGCACTGTGGAGTTTTGATGTATTCAGTTCTAGTGTTTCTGGTTTCTGTGTGTGAGTGGGAGCTGATCAGTAAGTGTTCTTTTAGGTGTTTCTTTCTTCGCTCATCAAAATTAAAGATAAAAGAAGTCAAAGTGCTCCTCCTCCTCACTCTATATCTATTTCTCTCTTTAGAGTTTTCTTTACAGTTGTTTGTCTTTGGATCCAAACGCTGCCCAGAGAACAAAATATTCCTTGTGTGGATTAGCATGGTGCTCAGGCTGTCTGAGCAGTCAATACCAGAGAGAACAAAGACTGTATCAAAGGTCAGGGCCTGACTGACCTGCAGCCAGTGTCGACTGCACTGCTTCTAGCCTAAATTTGCTCTGCTTTATTACTACGACTCCGTTCATCATTAATACGTTTAAGGCAGACTGTTTCACACCAAAACATGTGGGGTGTATCTTTGGGTTTTTAAACCAAGCAGTATTTTTTTTGTCATCATTGAGCGTAATAACCTTTTAGTATTTTGTAATTCATACAGTCTGAGGTGAAACTAGGGTTTTGTACCTCCTCTTGGCTCCGTTTTCAGGGTTTAGAAAATATAGCCTTCGATGGGAGACGTAAGCCAATCACAGAGGTTTCACTCAGATCAGGTGAAAGACTATAAAGAGCAACAAAACAGGAAGTGGTGGTGCAGTGGGATGAACTGAGCTCTCTCAGTCTGTACAGTTGGGGTTTGAATCCTGTGGGTAGTCACGAGTGAATGTTGATTTTTTTTTTTGTGCATATTCCTATGCTCATCTGGTAGAGCGGCTTAGTATAGAGAGGAAAGAGCTGCTGGAAGACGGCTGCATTCTTAAATTCTGGTGTGTTTTATTTATTTATTTATTTGCCGTTATTGTTTGGCCCGTTCTAGATTTTCTGCTTTCTGCAGCTTTAATGAATGTGTTGATTTTTGAAAGCAACTTTGCTTGGCATCTTATCAGTGGGACAACATAAAAACCAGAAGATGATTGTGCGCATTGTCTGAGCCTGTACGCACACCAGCTGTACAAATCCCAAACAGATTCAGTTTAGTGCCACAGGAGACCAAGAAAAACCAGAAACTATTTGCATTTCGTATAATTTCTTTGGCGTTGAAACAATTAATCAATTATCACAACTGCTGCAGAAGTTTTTTTTTTGTTTTGTTTTTTTTTTGTTCCAGTGGCTTAATTGTTTTCGCTCTAGCAAGTCATACATGATTGTTTCTGTGTACATGCAAGTAAAACACAAGATGCAGGCTAAACGTTTCTCCATAGCACCACTAGTGGACAAGAAGACCACATGCTACCCTTAAACAAGTGTTAGTTTTACAAGCATATCTTTTTCATAAATCAGTGTGCTGTGTTTTCATCAACATTTGTGATGCGGGTCTCTCAAGTGTCTTTTTGTCTCTGTGCAGCCTGTTCCGCTGGTTTCTATAAGGCCAGGTCTTCAGATGCCAGCTGCTCTAAGTGTCCTCCACACAGCCACTCGGTCAGAGACGGAGCGACCGTCTGCGACTGTCACTCTGGATTCTTCCGAGCTGATAGCGACCCTCCCTCCATGGCCTGTACCCGTAAGCACACACACACAGACACACACATAGCTGTACGATAATACAGAAGTGACAACAATATGTGCATGCATTTTTCCACAAATAAAAGCAAAAACCACAGTCATTGTTTCCCAAACTCTCTATCTCCACCAAACAGAGGGAGACACAAACGTGTCTGAATGCCACCCCTGTTTCATGATCCCATTACTTATGACTAAGCCACCATCTACATCCTGTCTGGCAGTGATAACTAAAGACATTGAGGAGTGAATAAATGTCCTCTCTCTCTCTCGCTTGCGCTCAACGTCTCTCTCTCTCTAAGTCTGTGAGTAGGTTCTGTGTGACAGACTGGGAGACCTTGGTTTGTGTGTCTTAAACTTAATTATGCCTATATACAGCACATGGTTTCCTTGGCTTGGGAAAAATGAAAACACACACACACACACGCACACACACACACAGTCTCTCAGACACACACACACAAAATGCCACAGAAGAAAACATCCAACCCATCAAAAAGATCTTAGAACAGTATGATTTTTAGTCTAATGCCAGATGTCTACATTTCAAGTCCTGCCAAGAGCCCCCCCACCCCCAGCTCACACACCCTGTATACTTCCACTTTCCTTATGTGCAGTATATTGGTTTTGTTCTTGCTCAGGCTCACTCCCTCCCTCCCCCTCTCTTTCTCAGAGCCGCCATCGGCCCCGCAGCAGCTCATCTCTGTGGTGAACGAGACCTCGGTGGTCTTGGAGTGGGCCCCCCCTCGCCGGTTGGGAGGCAGAAGTGACACCAGCTACAGTCTGGAGTGTCTCATCTGTCAAAGCGGGGGTCACAGTCAAACGGCTGGAAGAGCCCTCCCGAGGAATCGCAGCATGTCCCAGCCCGAGGCCCAGCACGGTGGCCCGGCGATGCAGTCGGACCAAGGCATTGTGGGACCTGAAGCCCAGTTGGGCAGAGGAGTGTTCCAGAGCAGGCCTGGAGATTACCCCCGGCTGAGCTCTGGCTCCATCTCCAGCTCGCAGCTCTGCCTGCCCTGTGGCTCGGACGTGCTCTTCTCTCCCGGCCAGACCGGCCTGAAGGCCACCAGGGTGGTGGTGAGCGAGCTCCGGGCCCACACGCACTACACCTTCATCGTCCACGCAAGGAACGGGGTCTCCCAGGCCAGCGGTACAGGGGCAGCGCCGAGCGTGTCCGTCAGCGTCACGACCAACCAAGCGGGTGAGAGGTGTTTGCTTGTGATGAATGTGTTTGTCAGATTGTTGACTGTAGCAGGAACATAAAATGTGCTTATAGATGCTGTCCGTAAGTGGGTCAGCACAATGCAAAACTGCTGCCCGCAGGGAAGCAACGTCCCATGAGGACTGTTTGAAACTGTAGAAGCATGATATGTACAAGCTCTGTGCGTAGATAAATGTGCACATGATGGAGGTAGTATCCACCCTAAAACGCTTAGATGGTCAAAAACAGATTTTTAAAAAATATTTGTGATAGATATTATTTCGCTGAAATCTCTCACAAATATATTTTTTAAGCTTTCTTGTGTGCAATTCCAAAACAATTGAAAGGTTGTCAAATACATTCAAGTGATTTACATTTTGAAAGCAGTTCTGCATTGAAACATGTCATAAATTTGCTTTTGATTGCATTGCTTTTATCCTTCTACAATGTATTGTAATAGAAGAAAATCACAAGTTGCTAGTGTAGAGACCATGATGCTTCTCTTGCTTGCTGTCAACTAGAACCTCTTGCTCATACTATCACTGTAATAGTTGCCATAGTTATTACTCTGTCCTCCTACACCTAACAACAGCTGAATTAATTATAGGGGTGTTCTCGAGAGGAAGCCAGAAAGCATTTTGGAAAATGGAAGTCACTGACTTAAATACAAATAAGACATAGATGGTTGAAGTTGAAGTAGATACAATAAAAAGTAAATCGTAACACTCAATCAAGAAATGACCGAACAGCGTATTGTTGACACTTGACAGCACCGGTGTACCTACGGGTGGGATTTTCCTCGTCCCAGCGTTTAAACCACGGAAGTATCTGAAAAAATCACCCACATTTTATGAAGTGTTTCATTTTGCTTGTGAAGGTGTCAGCTGGTGTGTGGCGTTCCTCACACATGCTCTCCATTAGTTTTCAACGAGTGCATGTTTTTTTTTTTTTTTCCTTTTCCTTTTGCATGCTGTTACATCTCAACTGTCATTGCTTTAAGTCTTTATGCTGGCATTTAGAAACCAGCACACCTGCTTAGTTGTGGGTGCCCCGGGGAAATAACTTAGCTGTGTGCGCACAGCGTGAGAGCGTGCCTGGGATGTGTCAAGTCCAACCTGCACTACCATATGGCCCGATATCACATGAACAGCCACAAAGAACAGGACAAACACGGATAAAAGGAGGGAAAATTGAGGGCTGTAAGAGGAGAGAGCATTGAGAATGAGGCTTGTCTCCACGGAATATGAAGGCATGAGATGTAGGTCGGTTCTCAGGTGCACTGGGTCAATGGGACTGTTGACAAACAGGCCCCATACATCTGCTATGAGCTGCTTTCAGGCCTGTGAAATGATCAAAGATAAGCAGCATCATGGATATACAGCATATTCACTTGTTTATATTTCTGTAAACATCTGTCCGCACTGCCTGTTTGTATTATGTTTCTGTACATGGTCCTCTGTCTATGTCACTGTTATTTGTATATGAGGAGAGAAGTCATGCAGTTTCATTCTACATTGTATAATGAAAACAAAACTCATTCTGATTCATGTACAGCCATTCTCCATGCAAGCCACACTATTGTCATTCTGTTATCTCTCATCATGTGCCTCTCCCTCTCAGCTCCCTCTCCAGTGTCGTCAATCCTCGCCATCGATGTCACCAGACACAGTTTGTCGTTGTCGTGGCAACAGCCGGATCGACCCAACGGGGTCATCCTGGAATACGAGGTCAAGTTCTATGAAAAGGTGAGTTGCCGGCAGGTTAATGCAGCTCAGGCAGTTTGTCTGGAATGTCAATATGTTGGGACGCTGTTTGTATCTGACCGATGGCGACGCTGGATTTGCATTGAAAAGAGACCCCCTCTTTGTGTCCCGTCTAATCAGGATCAGAGGGAGAGGTCCTACCGCATAATGAGGACCTTCTCTCGGAGCGTCGATGTCACGGGTCTCAACCCCCTCACCGTGTACGTGTTCCATGTGCGCGCTCGCACGGCGGCCGGATACGGAGAGTTCAGCGCTCCGTTTGAGTTCTCCACCAATTCAGGTATTCACGCCGTAAAGTTCAGCAGCTGCAGAGCATGCATTAAAGTTTATGTGCACAAGTTATCAGCTTTTGGTTTGTGACTTCTGTGTCCTTCCTCATTAGACCCCTTCCCTCTGATCGGAGAGGGAGTTAACTCTGCCTTCCTGCTGCTGTCTATCAGCGGGGTTGGAATTTTACTGCTGATATCTGCAGCTGTCTTCATCATTAGTCGCAGGTATACACACACACAAACACACCCACACAAACACATACACAAATATAAAAGGACCCATACAGGCAGGCACCTATAGATGTGTTAGGGTGGCTAGAAGTTTTCCAGCAGCGCATCACTGACGTAAACATGTGTGCAGCGTCCGTCTTAACTACAGTTTTTTGACCAAACTGCCACAATTCGCAGAAACAACAACGCACTCACACACACACACGGTTCCGCTGCTATTGTGTCACTAAATAATGTGTGTGTGTTACCTGGAGCTTTTAAAGGGGATTAGAGTGGAGACAGTGATAATCCCTTTGTCCCTGACTTGTCATTACTGTCTCTTCAGCAGCACAGCTTGCGTGTCAGCTTCCGCCGCCGTGCACACTCACGAGCACGCGCAGGTGCCCACAGACACACACACATTCAAAAGCACACACACCTGCTCAGCCACAAAGGTGTTTTTGACAGTTTCTTTGTTTAATGGAAAACACCTTTTATCTCGCGCTACCTGAGGCATTGCCCCTCCTCCCTCTCTCCCTTAAATGCTTTCATCTGGTCGTTCTGTGCTTTCCTGCAGCCTCTGTTCTCATTGTCACTGCTTTCTATTGCGGCAAATCCTTAAAAACCCCAAAGAAGGCACAGCCCTGCCAGAAAAGAAACAACCCAAAGTTAAAAACAATGTGACAAATATGCCCCTTTGTCAGTGCGTCTCACTATAAGAATCACAACAAAAACAGGTGAAGTGGGAGAGAAACGGTTGCAGGGACATTCTCACTTGTCTTCTTTATCTGTGTGTTAAATCTTCATCATCTGTGTCTCATCAGGAGGAGCAAGTACAGCAAAACAAAGCAGGACTCTGAGGAGGAGAAACATCTAAACCCAGGTACTGCACATGCACTCACAGAGAGACAGATGGAGGCTCATTTTCCTTCCCTTCCTTCAGATCCACCTGCACATATCTTATACACATACTGCCAAAGACATTTACATAACATATGCAGTTATACAACTCATATTTCTCACCCACCTCTGCGTTTCTTCTTCTCCTCCTCCCTCACTTCCTTCTCCTCTCTCGCCTCCCCTCTCCATGGCGGCAGGAGTCAAAATCTACGTGGACCCGTTCACCTACGAGGACCCCGATCAGGCCATCCACGAGTTTGCCAAGGAGATCGATGTTAGCAGCATTCACATTGAAAAGGTTATTGGCATGGGTAAGCCTGGCACTGGTGCTCACAAACACACACACACACACACAAAACCCACACACACATGCTGGGTTGGCGCTGACACTGCTGTTTGCTCCGTGTGAGTAGGAGAGTTTGGGGAGGTGTGCAGTGGTCGGCTTCGTGCGCAGGGAAAGAGGGAGATCTACGTGGCTATCAAGAGTCTGAAGGCGGGATACTCTGACAAACAGAGACGAGACTTCTTGTCTGAGGCCTCCATCATGGGACAGTTCGACCACCCGAACATCATCAGGCTGGAGGGCGTCGTCACGAGATGTGAGTAGAACTTGGGTTATAACTGTGCTGTGAAAGTTGTGATTAAGCCTCGTATTTATAACTCTTTGTCCACTTAGGCAAGCCGCTGATGATCATCACAGAATACATGGAAAACGGATCCCTGGATGCATTCCTTCGGGTATGTGCTTTTATTAAGGTGCCCGTGCATCCATCTGCCCACTTCTTAATGTTAATGTGGTATCTCAAGACAAGCAAGAGAGAATTTCCTGAGATTTGGATGAATTAAACAGGTTGTGGTGGTCAAATGTCAAACAATACCTTGACCTCACAAGATCTTTTATTTACTTTCTTCTAAATCTTTTACTTCAAAAAGTTATCCGTTACAGGACAAAGATTGTTCTTATTTTTCAACACTGTCACCTTTAACTTCAGTGCCCTTGGTCCACTGATACCCTTCATGGAAGGTCACATCTTGAGCCTTCAGATGCTCCTCAACTGCATGCATGATGTCATCATCAGTCTGAAATTGGCCACGATGCAAGTGGGAGATTTTAGTTTGAGAAACAGTCAGACGGTGCTGATCAGTTGAGTGAGGTGCATGGGGCAACAGTTTTAAAAGCCACATTTGGCTGCTTCTGCTACCTGTGCTGTGCCTTTCTTTTCTCTTTGATTGCTTTGACGTTTGAGTTTTTGTGGACAGTGATATTAGGCTTGATAGTGTACAGTTGTGCTCCAAAATGGGAGTTAGGCCGTTGATTCCAGGTGAGGCTGAGAACTTTTTGCAGCCCCCTCGTATGTACATGATGTTGTATGAGTTGCAGTGTGACTGACTGACAACCACGAGGCAGTAACTGTAGTTTTCTGTTATGAAACAAACAAACAAATCTTAGTTCTGAGTTGTGTTTTGGAAAAATGTGTTGACGGGAAATCAAATCCCAGTCAAAATGTAGTCACTCGTGACTGTACTGTGGGTGTCCGTATTAACCTGCCCTTCTGTCACCGAAACGCTAATGTTTCAGAAACACGACGGCCAGTTCACGGTGATCCAGCTGGTCGGCATGCTGCGCGGCATCGCCTCGGGGATGAAGTACCTGTCAGACATGAGCTACGTTCACCGAGACCTGGCGGCTCGAAACATCCTGGTCAACAGCAACCTGGTGTGTAAAGTGTCTGACTTTGGCCTGAGTCGAGTTCTGGAGGACGACCCAGAAGCTGCCTACACTACAAGGGTGAGACACACGCAGACGTAGTCCAAACTGGATGTGAGCATACACACCAGATCTTCTGCTTTTGTGACAAACCTGATTGCGAATTCATTATTCTTTATCACTTAAATTGAATATTTATAGGCTCTTTAGGTGCCATCACAGCTTCAGTTCACACATTTATTGCCGCTAAAGATTCATGACTAACTGAAAACACATTTAATGCAGAATAAATGCATACAGATTCCTTAAAGAATAAAGCTTAGAGCAGAAATGTTCAGAGGTGCAGATGTTTTTCTCTCCAATTCTCTTAATGAACCAGCAAATCAATAAATAAAATCCCTTAAGTCAACGAGTCAATGAACCAGTGTGACTGTTGCTACTGTTTTAGGAGGCCACAGGGACTTATCTCTCCCCTGGAGGAAAGATTCCCATCAGATGGACGGCTCCAGAGGCTATAACCTACAGAAAGTTCACCACGGCCAGCGATGTGTGGAGTTACGGCATCGTCATGTGGGAGGTGGTTTCATATGGAGAGAGACCCTACTGGGACATGAACAACCAGGATGTGAGTAATTCTGAGACTGTCTAACCTATGAGATGCCTCATAGAATAAAGAATGAGCTGTTCCTTGAAGGACTGGATCATCTTTACAGTGTCAGTAACAACTAACACCTACATTTTTTTTCGATGTAAGTGGTTTATATAAAATGGTCAACTGATTTCTGAGTGTGCTTTAAAGCAGCCTGTGTGTCTGGACATGTGGTCGGACGCATGCAATTGAATGTAAAACTAACTGTAAGGAAATGTGGAGCATGAATAACGATTCACATATCAGCCTCCATTGTTTAAACATCCTGTGACAACCACAAGCATTACCATTAATTATACTTTTTCCTTAAAGTTACGAGCTGTGACTTTCTGCAGAAGTCAAGCAAAACTTCAGTCTGGTCCACAAATGGGACCTAAATTAACCCAATTTAAATAACCGAATAAACGAAACCGGCACCACTTCTTTAGCATATTTTAGTCTTCTGGAGGAAGCTGAAACTCCTCTGCATCGTGACCCACTGTCTTTGACCTCTGTACTGTTTGAAAATGTGCAAATTTTGCTTTGAAATCTTCCCATGGAAGGGCAGCAAGCCAAGGTTTAGTTCTCCAATCACAGGACATTTTATTAAAGATAAATATTGAGACTTGAGGGAATCTGCTGCTTAGTGTTATCCCTCAGCCAAGCACGCACACTTTATAAAATTAGGGGTGATTTAGTTTTAGTTTTTTTTTTTACTTTGAACTGTTACTGAGATCTGAGAGAAAAATCCAGTTTCAGAGCAAATTTGCTGTACGAGAAATCACTTTGCTATCAAAGCTTGTTCAGTTTGACGAGGTCAAAGAGCCAGTCTGGAATGGATTATGGAAATTTTGTATTGATCTCATCTGCCGCAGATAACTTTACTGCTGGGCCACTTTTTGGACTTTCTGCACATCATATTTTCTTATTTGAATAAGCCGAACTGCTCTATTTTGTTTATTTAGTTATTTTTAGCTTATTAGTGAGGCTGTTTAGTGAAACACTGGAGTGCAGACTTTTCTCACAACCAGCTATATTCCCTCTAAAACTCATTTTTGGTGTAGCTCCTCAGTTGTGACCCAGCTACATTCTAGATACCAAGGCAGGAGTGTGTAGTATTTTCATTTTGGGAAAGTTTGACCAAATCTGCTTGATTTCTGAGTGCACTGCAGATGTGCATTATGGGTCCACGGTACGCACAGGAAACAGTGGAGCCGCTCACAGCTGCAAAAAATTAAAATCAATTGCAGTTGGTGGTGAGACAACTCCGGGAAGATCTTGGAAAACAACAAGAAAGTAATAAATCTTTAGGAAAAGTTTTTGCTTTCCTTCTGTGAAGTTTAATTGGCAGTGGCAGTTTGACTTATGTTTGTTGGTGGATGAATTTCATTATCTACTGTACAAAACCATGAAGCGCAGTCATGTAAAAAGAGCTGGGACAGCAAGTAGAATGCACTCCAGCATAGTGTGCTTTTTTTGATTTCTTTTTTTAATGTCTTGACATTCAAGTTCTCAGCAGATTAAAGACTTTGGTAACTCTCTGTTGTTTCTCTCTAAAACAACCAGCAGGTTAAAGTTTATACTTTTGTGCTAATGTAGGTAAGCCTAGCGAGAAATTGCGAGAAAGTAAGATGATGAACAAAATGAACATTATACCTGCTAAACATCTGCGTGTTTGCATTGTCAATATGAGGACTTTAACATTAGCTCGAAGCAGAACTGTTTGCTGACATTTTTCAGATGTGGCCCAGATTTTGGAAAATCTCTGAATCAAGCCTGATAAAAATGTAAAAAGTTTCCTTGTGTCATTTCTTTAGGTGATCAAAGCGATAGAGGAGGGCTACCGCCTGCCTGCTCCCATGGACTGTCCTGTGGTGCTGCACCAGCTCATGTTGGACTGTTGGGAGAGAGAGCGAGCAGAGAGACCCACCTTCAGCCAGATACTCAACATGCTGGATAAACTCATTCGCAACCCCGGGACTCTGCGCCGGACAGGAGGGGACAGGTACATAATGCACATGTAAGCACAGCCATAAATGCCAGCGTACAAGTGGGCAAAGTCATGCATTGCCACATTCATGCTGTACTGGCATCCTCACCTGCTGCATTGTTTGGTTTACATGCAAAGTTTTCCTTGAATTATGATGATTTTGTTGCAACCTGCTGTCTCTTTGTGCGTTTACAGACCTGCAGGCACGATGTTGGAGTCGGGGATGGGTTCGGAGGTGTGTGTGTCGGTCCTACCGGAGGTGTGTGTGCCGGAGTGGTCGGTGTGCGAGTGGCTGCAGTCCATCGGCTTGGAGAGGTACAGAGACACCCTTGCAGCGGCGGGTTACACCAGCCTTGACAGCCTCCTGGCTCTCACACACCAGTAAGTGCACCTTCGTGTGAAAATGGATTGAAGTGAGAGTCAGTCTTGCATTTACTCATCAAATTTCTGCTTTTACTCAGTGGGTCAAAACTTGCAACAGACGTCACTTTATATTTTAGGATCCAAATTCTCGATTGTAATGGAGAAAAATCGTACGTATTGTATCTGTATAATGCAGAGATGAAGTCCTGACGCCGGTGCTGTCTTTTAATTTTAGCCTTTTTAACTTTTTTGTTGCAATTTTGCTGTCTCAAAAACACGAGCGCTCTTCGGTCCTTCTTGTCGATTCTGACATTTTTCCACTTGTGAAGTTCAAACTGGAACTCTCTTTGAAAGTAGTGTTCATTAAAGGCCACTGAAGACTGAAATATTACATAATTTAAAAAATCTCATCAGCTCGTACTCGTTACTGTGAGTTGAGTTCTTACATCTGGATGAAAATAGGACAGATTGTGGTTTCACTTTGACTTTTGATGACATTAAAAGGACATTACGGCATCACATGAAATATGTCAAAGGGATAAGAGACATGCTGTGGAATGGGTGCGGTTATGGGTGCGGTTTTGCTGTATTTGCCTCACAGCATTTGCATTATTTGACAAATCACTGTACTCTCATGACCTCACATAAGCATGTTGTGTATTATTAGATTATATTATTACGGCCAATTTAAAGGTTATTGTGTTAATTTTTTATTTTTTTTAATTGTTCTCCTATAAACTAGACCACCAAAGACTGAAACCACAAGTAAATTCAGCTAAGTAAAGACATTGACGAGAACCATTTCCTAATGTTGCTAATTTTATACAGACATACAAATACTAACTTAACTAATTATTGCACACATATTATGATAAATATCGACAGTGCAGTTTAAAGCTACTCTGCAGCTGCATTTTCAGGTCACAGAGCATGCCCAGGGATGTGGTTTCTCATTTGCATTGCTTTGCTGCTTTATGCGTTTTAATAGCTCTGCAAGACAATAGGCTTCTATAGCGGAAAGGCATAAAGTATATTAGGATACACAAGCATCTTCAAATTATGGCTGCAGCTTAATTGGTATAGAGGGCTGGCTTGTAATCATCAGGTGGTTCAGATCCTGCAACCCAAAGAGCTCCTTATGTAAGCGTATGGGGAAGTCTGTGAGTCATTTTGGATGAAAGTGTCTGGCAATTTTCATGAAATTGGTGGTGAAAACCACAAAAATAGCACCTGGGTTTATCCTTTAAATACTGCATGGTGTGGCTCGTGTGTCTGAATATATACCTTTGTCTGTGCGCCCACAGGGAGATGGACAGACTTGGAATAATCACACCGTCACATCAGGACATACTAATTGCAAGTGTGCAGCAAGAGGTGCTGTCTCAAATGCAACACATGCAACACTCGATGGTTCCGGTCTGAGCTGGCGAACAGATACAAAAAAACCTGTTTTGAGAAGAATTTCATTTACCTCATCTGTGCACTTTAGAGGGACTTTTCACCAGTGGAAATACAAGGAGCTGAGGAAAATAAAAAATACTAAGTGACAAGAAGAAGATGAAGAAGAGAGAAGCAGCACTTTTGTGAACTTCCATCCTGTGGAGTTTTCTATAAACCATGATCTGGACGTGGCCGCAGATAGCATTAAGCTACTGGGAGCTGAGAGCGACGCCTCATCCTCTTATCCAGTTCAACTTTTTTTTTTTCTTTTCTTGTTTTCTTATCTGTTTCGTGAAGGCTGACGTGCATAAGCAGAATGGCTTCCAACTTTTTTTTTTTTTCTTTTGCTGCTTTGTGCTTGACTTGAATAAAATGTGTTTTGCTCGTATGTCTGTGCGTATGTGCGAGTGCGTGTGGCGTGAATGCATCCGACGTGGAATCTCCCTTGTTACGATGTCAGCTTTTTGAATAATCTTTGAATAATCTTAATATGCAAAGTTAAAGAGAGTGGGAGGAGCCAGACAGAATGTATCATTACAAGCTCTTACTAGTTTCATACTGGAGGATCATGCTAACAAACTGTATGATTTGCTTATGTTTTTTTTTTTTTTTTTTTTTTTTTTATTTTGAATTGTATGAAGTATTGTTTCTGTTGAATTAGACATTTAGATTAGAATGTCCTCCATCGGTGTCTGTGTATACGTCTGTTGTTTGATGCTAAGAGTTAGCTACATGAAGCCTTTTGTTTATTTATGGTCCTTTTTCTATCTAGTTTGTACATTGTAAAATAGAAACACTGAGGAGATATTGTAATGAGTGCCATATTGCATTGCAATAAATGCCAAACCCATCCATGTACATAGGGTTTAACTTTGTTTGAAGAGCAGCTTTTTGCGCCGTAGTATTTATTGTGCACCATATACTGTAATTAGTTAATCAAATGGTGCCTCAAGAGGTCTATGTTTATCATTTCTGAGTTTGGCAGAAGAAAGTGTCCCCTGTGAAAGTTGAGACTTAGTCAGAGGTGGCTGTAACAAGGAAAACAACTCCAGAAGAACGCCCAGCTGAAATGCTGCTGGTGTAATCACACATAGTGTTGGGTTGGAGTGTGTGTGAAAGAGAGAACCGACACAGAGAGAGCAGAAGAAGAAAGCGAAGGGAAAAAAAGCTGGAGAGTAGAAAGAGAGCCTGAATTAAAAGGAGAGAAAATTAAGAGTGGGCTGTCACCACGAGCGTCTGTGTGGCATCATGTTTTTTGTCGGCTAAATTGGGCTGAGTTTGCAGTGCAAACTTGTCGAATCAGCAAACATCTGTCTCCCACTACACTGCCACACACACATTCAGTATGTATTTATATATATATATATATATATATGTATATTATACACATACACACACACACACACACACACACATACCAGACACCAGGGAGTTGATTGGAGGAAGCCTTTGATATATAAAGGAAGAGAAGATATGATCTGGTTTCTGGCACAAATGTCAATGTTTTTCCAGCCTAATGAGAGTTGCCTGCGTACACACAACAAGTGAGCACACACACGCACACATACGACCCCCTGCCTCCCTCTCAATACCTCCAAATCGCACACAGCAAACAAAATGCTGATGGTGGTTAATGAGGCAGATGCCTCTGAGTAAGAGACAGAAAGAGGAAGAGAGATAGAGTTGACGGAGCCGTCTTGGCTCGGGGCAATGAAACACGCAGCTTCTGTCAAATAATGAGACACTGACACCACATTTAGCAGGTAGCCTTTACTGATGATGCATCAACACACAGCTCTTTTTAAAAAATAATGGAATGGCAGACAGAAAACGCAGGCAAACAGAGGATGAAGTCACTGTTTTGTGTGGCTTTAGACTAAGCCGGTAGCGCAGCTCTGTAGATCACAGTGTTGGTCGCTTCACCATTTTGGTCCGGACTGAAAGACATTCCTGCCTCCCAGAGGATGATTCCGGCCAACTGTGGTTCCCTGGCGTTTCTTCTAGCACCGTCATGAGGTTGACATTTTTGTTTAGTGAAATGTCAACAAATGCTGATGGATTGCCATGAAATTTGGTACAAATTATCGTGGTTCCCAGAGGATGGCTCTCAGTGGCCATCTTCTGAATGTTACTCCAGTGATGCTGTCAGGTTGCCATTATAGATTCTGAGCGATATAGAAGTGGACTTTCATGTGCCGCTTAAGACAAACTGTAATCATTTCAGTGATCCTTGTCTTCTCTGTGTTTGCATCACCATCAAGTCAAAAATGCAACTTGTGCATTACTTTGGTTTATGGCTGAATATCTCCAAACCTCATGACAATGTGATTAGTTCCAAGCTGCAGATATTCACATGCTATTGCACTGAACTAAAGTCCCTTTCAGACATGCATGCACAAGTTTCTTAATTCATTGATCTGATGGCATCTGGATGTGTCTGCTTCATGTCTGAACTTATCACTTTTTCCTATAAGCTACAACAGCAATCTTACTGGGTCAAAATGAGTAACATTTACACATTCCTGGCACAGGTGTGAACTGCATGCACTGACAATAGCAAATGGCAAAGATGACATGGGTGTTGTTACTTATAGTGGCTGACACAGTTCATGCATTACACTTGATATACTGTTCAATCCTGCATGTATGACACATATTGCATGCCTGCCACGGCTTTCTCCATCACTAATGTGGGTGTGTCTGAATGAAGCTATGAGGAGCATTAATGCAAAAGTGATTTATGTCTGAATGACAGAATGCTGTCACTTTAATAGAATGACGACGTCAGCAATGTTATATATCCCATGTCTGAAAAGGGTATTAGGATGGTACATTTTGTGAACAACACGCTTGTGAAACATCATCATGTCAGCATTACCGCATTCAGCTCAAGTGTCTCAGAAAAACGGCTGCAGACTTTTGAAAGGATTCACCCAAAAACCTTTTCCATTTGCATTTGCTGCCACAAAGCGCAGCCTGTAGGTGTTCCAAATTGCCATAACAGGGATCGATCATAGGGATAAAAAGGACACAGTTTAGGGGCTGAATCCACATTGACTGATGGTAGAGTGAGCAGTAGTAATTTTAACCCTAAAAGACACTCCTGTTATATTGAGAGGGGTAGATCAAATTGAATCTTTCTGTCTTCGTGTCTCGGTGGGAGGTGATTGTGGGTTTTTGTCCGCAGATTAAGGCGGGTATAGAGCTGGCTAATCCTGCCCGCTCTTCCATGTGGGAGTGGCAGTGGGGTGTCTTTGCTGTGCGGCCAGCCGTAATCTAATGGGTGCGAGATTTGGCTGTGTACACGAGCACGCTCACTCACACACAGCCGCAGACACACAGCACAAAGTCTAGATTTGTTTCAGGATTAAAAGCATCACCTCAATAACTGACATAATGCCACAGGCATTCCCACGCTAAGCCTGATGAGGCCGTCTGTGTGTGTGTGTGTGTGTGTGTGTGTGTGTGTGTGTGTGTGTGTGAGAGAGAGAGGCTGTGATTGCCAGGCTTATGTGTGTATGTCGCTGTATTTCTAGATGCTGCAGATGAGAAATATGTTGAGAAGGGAAGCAGAAAGTGCAAAGGAAAATAAGAGATGGATTTGTGCACACACTCAAACACACACACACACACACACACACACACATACACACAGACACACACACACACACACACAGACATACACACACCACTCAGTCCCACTAGAGAAGCAGCTGCCTAAGTTGGCAGGCCATGTCCCTCTCATTATGCTGGCCAGTCACTCGTATCCTGGCTCTCTCTCCCCTGCTGCTGCTGCACTGGACAGGTAGCATCTGACACACATTAGCCCACTATTAATGACTTCTGTTGCAGCCATTATCACACACTTAGGGAGAAACATCCCCGGGGTGCCATTTTTTGCAGGGACATGCATTATATATATCCAAAACCATCCAATTTTCTCTAAAGTTCTGCAAGCAAAGCAAAAGTTTTTGTAAGACAAGGCTTGTTTCTGATTCGGTGAAAGCTCTTCTGGGTTGCAGTGACATGATTCAGCAATTCACTCGTTTCTTTTACTTTTTTTTTAGTTTTTTTGAGTCAGATGGTACCTCAAGTTTAGTCCAGGGTGTGTGTGAGTTGTTCTCAGAGATGACTCCTGTGGAATGTGGGTGGGTGTGGCACACAGACCTCCCCCATCAGAGAGTGAATACCAGTGTGATTAAGGTTAATCCTACAAGTGGCGCACAAACAACACAAGCATCATCTCAGGATCTGCTACATCAACAGCAGGTGTGCAGGAGCCTTTATCTGCTCCTTACATTCTAATTCAGTGTTTGACATTGTGTCTGTTCAGATTTAGGCTTGAATGGGGCCATAAAATAACGTTTCTTGGAAGGTTCATGGACAGTTCTTTCCTTTTTTTCAAATCATACGACGATCACAGCGTTAGAAGGATGACAGGAGGTCAAAGCTTTCATCCTTCAGTGCTGTAGAAATGTTGCTGTATTTCATGTCATAACCAACATGGGTTGTGGAGAAATTTTTGCATTAAAGTTAAAAAGAAAAAAAGTTTTTGGTTTTTCCTTTTTTACCTTTTCCTTTTGTTTTTTTTTTTCGCTTAGAAGAGTGAGTGGTGAGTTCTTAGGGGTTAAATCAACAACCGGAGAGAGACTTTAAGAATGTTACTTTAATGTCTAAACCGAAGAAGCCTCTTGGATGAGAGGTGAAACGTCTTCATAAACCTTAAAGAGAAGTCCACTTGCTTTTTTACTGGAGCTTCTAGGATTACCATGACCTGAATGACTGGTCTTCTGCATCCTCTTAAACAAGCCTAGCAAGAATATAAGAATCCAAAATACATGTTTTTTCCTCACCAGTTGCAGTATCCTAGAATCAGATTCTTTGCAATATCCAGGTGCAGTTAAATCCCAAGCTGATTTTTACCAAATACCATACTGCGGAGTGCAAACAACCCATATAATAACCATAAGATGTATATAAAG